AATATATTTATTGAGGACAGAAACACACGGTCCGCTATTGTCAATCTTCCATTGTGGTTTCGTGTCATCATTGTGGGAACAAAAAGAATAACCGACTGCCCTCAGACAAGCATGTCGCAAGAGTCGATTATTTATTTAAGGATGCTTTCTTAAAAGTCAGAGTTCGTCTGCCTGAGAGGCAAGGAACAAACACTTCGCATTAAAAAAAAAAACCCGGTCTGTAAAACGGATTACACGCAAAACTCAGGTTCTGTAACAAAAACCAGTGGATAAACAACGAGAACTTTCCTCCGAAGTTTACCGTCGGTGAAACGCGAAATATGAAGAAACATTGTATCAGTCTTTCTGTAAATAAAGCCACAGTGGCATAGGTCTGTCAGCTTGCCAGTCACAGCAGTGGCTTATGTTCAAACCCTAGCTATGGAGTAATTATTTGTCCGACCACTTCAGCTCTGGAGTTGGGTTAGTCGCATCAAATCGGTAGGCAGAGAGAAAAGTGTACCAGAATCCTTAGTACTTGTCAGCTGACACAAAGAAAACTTTACCAGTGTCCCTAGTACTGGTCAGCTGACACAGAGAAAACTGTTCCAGAATTCTTAGTACTTGTCAACTGATACAGAGAAAACTGTACCAGAATCCTTAGTATTTGTCAACTGATACAGAGAAAACTGTACCAGAATCCTTAGTACTTTTCAGCTGATACAGAGAAAACTGTACCAGAATCCTTAGTACTTGTCAGCTGACACAGAGAAAACTGTACCAGTGTCCCTAGTACTTGTCAGCAGACACAGAGAAACTGTACCAGAATCCTTAGTACTTGTCAACTGACACAGAAAAAAACTGTACCAGTGTGCCTAGTACCTGTCAGCTGACACAGAGAAAACTGTACCAGAATCCTTAGTACTTGTCAGCTGACACAGAGAAGACTGTACCAGAACCCTTAGTACTTGTCAGCTGACACAGAGAAAACTGTACCAGAATACTTAGTACGTGTCAGCTGACACAGAGAAAACTGTACCAGAATCCTCAGTACTTGTTAGCTGACACAGAGAAAACTGTACCAGAATCCTTAGTACTTGTCAGCTGGCACAGAGAAAACTGTACCAGAATCCTTAGTACTTGTCAGCTGACACAGAAAAACCTGTACCAGTGTGCCTAGTACTTGTCAGCTGACACAGAGAAAACTGTACCAGAATCCTTAGTATTTGTCAGCTGGCACAGAAAAAACTGTACCAGAATCCTTAGTACTCGTTAGCTGACACAGAGAAAACTTTACCACTGTCCCTAGTACTTGTCAGCTGATACAGAGAAAACTGTACCAGAATCCTTAGTACTTGTCAGCTGGCACAGAGAAAACTGTACCAGAATCCTTAGTACTTGTCAGCTGACACAGAAAAACCTGTACCAGTGTGCCTAGTACTTGTCAGCTGACACAGAGAAAACTGTACCAGAATCCTTAGTATTTGTCAGCTGGCACAGAAAAAACTGTACCAGAATCCTTAGTACTTGTTAGCTGACACAGAGAAAACTTTACCACTGTCCCTAGTACTTGTCAGCTGATACAGAGAAAAGTGTACCAGTGTCCCTAGTACTTGTTAGCTGACACAGAGAAAACTGTACCAGTGTCCCTAGTACTTGTCATCTGACACAGAGAAAACATATCTAGAGAATGTTGAAGAACTGCCTTAGTTTTGAGGCAACAGTAATTAACGTCATCCTTGCGTTAACGCCGTGACTAGAACCTTGCTAGCCAGCTCCAAGCTTGTGTGTTCCACAGCTAGGTAGAGTTATATCATCAGCTTTGTCTGTTAAGTTATCCCAGGTGTCAGGAAACGTGTTGGAAAGTAGGTGCGACAGGCAAAATGATGATCCTATCACCCATCGAGTCCTGATGTGTCTATAAAAACATATCACTAGCATCATATGCTCAGTGCCCAATTGGCGTGAGAATGTTCTCATTCTATCTGTAACTTGCTTCATTAGAAAAGTAATTCCAAACACAATTCACGAAATGAAACACAATAAAGAGTTTGAGAAAAAAGAAACATTCAGAGATCTAAGGAACAATACGAAATATAACAAACAATCCGATACACAATAAACATTGTGCCACATAAGAAAGAATACAAAATTTAATAAATAAACAATCTGAGATATAATAAACAACGCGAAATACAATAAACAATGTGAGATACAATAAACAAACTGAGGTACAAAAAAAAAAAAAACGGCCAGAGAAATAATAAACAATCCGAATACTATAAACATTCCGGGATATAATAAATAATCCGAGATGTAATTAACAAAGTGAGATTCAATAAACAAAAAAACAAAAAAAGATAAAAGTAACAATTCGAAATACATTAAACAAACCGAGATATAATGAAATATCTAAGATACAGTAAACAATCCGAGATATAACAAACAATTGAAGATGTATTTTTAAAAATCTGAGATACAATAAACAATCTGAGATATAATAAACAATCAACAGTCCAAGATACAATAAATAAACTTATACGTAATAAACAATCCTAGATTTAGATTACAATAAACAATCTGAGATGCAATAAGCATCACAAGATACTGTAAACAATTTGAGAGAGATATATATTTTTTAAACCAATATAAAAATGAACAGTCAGCGATGTAAGAAACAATCCGAGATTTAATTAACAATTCAAAATACAAAAAACAATTTGAAATAAAACAAGCAATCAGAGATACAAGAAACGATCATAAATACTATAAACAATTAGTGGTATAACAAACAGTCTAAGATAAAATTAAAAAAAAAAAAGAAGAGATAAAAGTACCAAACCAAGATGTAGGCAACAATCCAAAATACCATAAACAACTCGAGTTGAACGATCTGAGATACAGTAAACAATCCGAGACATAATAAATAATCCACGATAGAATCAACAATCTGAGATACAATATTCTGAGATATAATAAACAATTCGATATATAATAAACAGTCAAAGATACAATCAACAATCTGATATATAATAATCAATCTGAGATATAATAAAAATCCAAGATACATCAACAATCTGAGATACAATAAACATTCTGAGTTACAATAAACAATCTGAGATATAATAAACAGTCCGAGATTAAAATTAAAAAAAATTCGATACATAAATAACAACCCTAGATTTAGACTATAGTAAAAAATATGAGATATAATAAACTACCCAAAATAAATTGAATAATTCGAGATTACAAGAAACAGTCGGAGCTAAAATAAACATTCCCATTTCTAAATTATAATCACAATCTGAAATTACAAATAACAGTCTGAAGTATAATGATGTCACCTGTTTTCCCAGAAAAACGCGAGAATGAGAGTTAAGGAGAAAAGAGCAGTGATTCAGTCGAATGCAACATGTCAAAACAAGTTTCTCCTGTCCTGAACATGTAATAACATCACAGTAAACGGAAAGAGAAATTAGAACAGGTAACAAGTTTCTCCTGTCTTGAACATGTAATAACATTACAGTAAATGGAAAGAGAAATCAGAACAGGTAACAAGTTTCTCCTGTCTCGGAAATGTAATAACATCACA